AAGATGCCTTTTGACATGCTTTGGTGAGGGCTCCTTTGCAGCAGGTCTCTGTTCGGGTGTCCACGTCTGTGGCTTCCTACTAGCAATTGCTTGCAGAGCATTACGTTGTGCTCCTTTATAAGGAGCATTTCCCCTTTTCCGTGCAGGTGGTGTTCTGGCGACATCAGAAGGCATCTGGTCGCTGTCCGTAGTCTTGTGTTTTGTGTCGTCTGTAGCTTCATCCACTGCGTCCTACTGGTCCCTGGCCACCACACTGGTGCTGCGTAATTTAGAACCGGCCGGCCAATTGCCATGTATGTTGCCAGAACCGTTTCTTTGTCTTTGCTCGAGGTACTGCCGGCTAGCGACTTGAGGACATTGTTGCTGCTCTGTACTTTGTTGACAATGACGGGCGTGCGCAGAGGGGAGCAGACTGTCGAATGTTACTCCGATTATTTTAGGATTATACACCGTCGGAATTGATGGGTCATCGACGTGAATACCCAGCGGTAGTCTGACCTCCTCCGTCCAGGTGGTAAATAACGTCGCAGAGGATTGTGTAGGGGAGGGGGTTAGAGTCCTAGCAGAGAAGCGAGAAAACTCGGAGAGATACCCGTTTACTTTCGAGCACAGGTCATCAATTCCATTCCCAGACGTTATTATCGAGCAATCGTCAGCGCAAGAGACATTCGCGACTCCCTCTGGTGGTTGTTCTAGGAGCGTGAAGTGACTGACGGTATCAAACGCCTGTGACAGATCCAACGATACTAGAATGTTTCTCTCACAGGAACGGTTGCGGTTTAGGCCACGTGTTATCTAAGTGTTTATGGCGTTAAGTGCTGTTGTTGTACTCTGCACTTTACGGAAACCATGCTGATGTTTCGCTGGGGTCAGGTGGTTCGTATAATACGGAAATAGCAAGGGCTCTAGTGTCTTCGTTACCGGGGAAAGGAGGAAAGACTCCTTTGTTGGCCGGTTTCCCCGGTTTGAGCAGTGGGCCCACTCTCCCCATCTTCCAGATATCTGGAATGACGAAAGTGGCCATTGACAAATTGAGGACCTCCGTTAGGTACGCTACTCCCCCAAGACCCAAATTTTTCATCATCAACATGTCGTCGTCTCAGAAAACGGATGTCGAATGTTACAAAACACGGTTTTGAGAAAATTTACTTTGAAGTTTAAGGTCGAATTAATCCGAAACTGTACGGTAGATTTTTGTAACTTTTGAAGGAGACGTAGTTGGTGTTATTAGATTTGATTTCCCATATTTTTACATTTAATATCTCTTAACGTTAATGAGAAAATTTACTTTTCATTCCGTATACATTTGTCGTAAGTAGCGTTTACTCACCATTTTGTTTTGTCCACAGAACATACGACAATAGTAAAGTATCTATTTCAACGACGATGGTATAATTTGACGAAAAAAACAGACATATTTATTAAATAATGATTACTTATTAGAAAAAACATAACAAAAACATAATCATGTATTTAATAAAAACAATCTGTACATCTCTTATGCTGTAAATATGTTACGAACATACGTTTTCTTTATATAAAAACAAAAAAACAATACTTAAATTCAGTCTTTTGTACATTTTTATCTCTTTCATTTCATTGGAGACTCAGTACAAGCTAAAATTTAAAAATTTAAAATTTTAAAATTAGTTACTTAGTTTAATTTTCAATTTTAATTGTATCGTTATAATAGAGGACCATCCAATTGTCGTAAGTTCAAAGTTTTGCGATACATACGACAAATGTTTTATGATTAAAAAAAGATTACATTTGTATGGGAATTTGTCGTATGTGCCACATACGACAAACGTTTTATGATTAAAAAAAAAAGGTACGTTTGTATGGGAATTTGTCGTATGTGACGCATTTTCAGCACATACAACACAAGGCATACCCAATCATTAATATTATGTAACATACGACAAAATGCGCACGAAATATCTCAAAAACTAATGGAGATATAAAAAAATGGATTGCAGAAATCGAAAGAGCATGTCCAACTTAGTAAATCTGCATCAAAATCCCAAAATCGTGATTTTGCACATTCGTCATCCGTTTTCTGAGGCGACGATGTATATTCCGTCGGGTCCTATGGCTTTTTAGGCTTTGGACTTCCCGATGGCCACCTGAACTTCGCCGCTGGTGAAAACAAGAGGCGCACTTGTTGTTGGCAGTTTGTGCAGCCCTCTGGTCACTCGACGCTTGGCTCTATCCACTGGAGGATGCAGTATAAACTGCCGGCTAAAGTAGCTCGCGTATCTCTCCGGGTCCGGTGAAGCGTGGTCGCCGAAACATATTTCGACTCTGTCGTCGCGCATTGTCGGATTGCACAGTGACCTCACGGTTGATCAAAGCTTGCTCACACCAGAGGCGAAGTAGCAAGTCTTCAAATGATCTTCCCACTTTTTTCGCTTATATACGTTCACAAGCTGCCGAATCTCCGTGTTGAGATTCCTGATATGGGGATTACCGGGATCGGCCTGACGAAGGTTGTCACGCTCATCGGCTAGGACAGCCGCTTCAGCAGGGAAGTTTAGGCGGGGATCCGTTATGCAACCTGCTAGTACGAAGCGAGCTGAAGCAGCAGCGACAACCCTGCGGAACTTGCGTTCACCAAGATGGACGTCGGTGGGTGTGGGGAGGGCAGAGAAGGTTCTTTCGGTAAAATCCGCGAAGCCTTTCCAATCAGCTTTGGTAAAGTTGATATAAGTCCGGTATTCCGCGGAAACAAAGTCGGGAGGTTTATCGATCGAGATGACTATGAGCAGATGGTCTGATACCAAGGACAGCATAGGTCGCTATGATACGCTGTTTATCAGACCAGCGCTGACTATTGTTATGTCTGGCGAATTGCAGTCTGCTCATCCAAGTGTATTCCCCTACGATCATTTGACAGGCTTGAATGCCAAAGATCGTGGTGCGCATTAAAGTCGCCAACTACCATAAGGATTTCACCTCTGCGAAGCGCACCTATTTCAGGGTGATATCCTACCGGGCAGCTGGTTAAATATTTCGCGCTCGACATGACCTGACCGGATAGCAATGCCCTGATATTCTAGGATGGTATCCCGGCGGTCACCACCATTATCTCGCTCGCGATCTGGACGGTGCACATTGTACCCGGCGCAATTCAACAATATTGAATTGCTGTGAAACTTCGTCTCTTGGACCGCAGCCATGCCTTCCCATGAAGACGGTCATCTCCTTAATCTTGCTATGAAGTCCATTACAGTTAAATTGAAGAAGCTTCGTGTGGTTCGGGAGACGTGTTGTTATACCGCCATAGCCTGTGACCGCTGCAGTGGGGTGTGCCGCCCTGTGGTGGTACTGGGTGGCGCCCAAGCTGGAGCTCGGGACTGTGCAGCGCAACACAGGCCCTCGAAATTCCCCGTCCAATCTCGCGTGGTGCGCAGACCTCAACATGCCCAAAGTGGCACCAGCCAAGGCAGGTGTTGCACTTGACTGATATCACATTACGGAATATCCTGGTCTGATATACCGTGCAGATTGTAGGGGGAACTACGAGTTGTTGGCGGCGGCGTGTGGGTAGCGGTGCGGTTGTGTTTCGGTCTATTGTATTGTATTGTGCTGAGGTGTTTGTGCTGAGATGCTCAGGCGGACTGGGGTTTGCCGTGCGGCAGCTCTGTTAAAGCAGCAGGGGGCTACAAATGAAGTGGTCCACTGACGATGTGTCCGAAGGCCTGAGCAAACTCTTAGGTGACTCCACCCGTTGCAAGCATTGCACTTGACTGAGGTGGAGTTGTGGTGTAGTCGTCTCTGGTATACACAGCAAGTGGAAGTTTCTGGCCCAGCATTTGACTCGATGCGAGCCCTGAGCAGTAGAATACGTAGCAGATACAGCCCTATGGACGAACGTCTGAGATATGTCGCCGACCTAAACGGGGTTAGATCGCCGAAACAACCCCGTTTGGGGGCCCTGGTTGGGCCTAAGTGGGCTGGCGCCCTCTGGGCCTAGCGTCCACGTCAACCTATCCTAACCTAACCTAAACAATGAGGATATGGAATATGTGCACTGACTTAATTTTAATGTATTTTCGCGAATTATGAAGGTTAACACTATATTTCATCAAAATCAGATCATATTTAACATTTGGAGCCATATTTTTCCTGTCGACCAATCTTCACTATTTTTCAGATTTATGTTTGTACGGGTAAGACGCATATGCATTTAATCAGAATCTGATAACTTTTAATATGTCCGCCCACAAGAGTGGGAGGCGTGGCAGTAGGCTTATCCTGACCATATTTTAAATTTTCTGTTTTCTGCGAAAGTAGAGCATATACAAAATTTTGTTGAAATTGGACAACGTTTATTTTTTTTGTCCACAGCTTATATGGGGACGTTACACTGTGCGGCGTAATAATAGGAATCATAACTTACACTGCGCGGTATTGAAATCATACCATACAAATCGCCCCGATCTAATGTACATACAAACATTATGATTTCATTTGAAACATAAAGACGCGATTCTTGGGAGCATTTCTTTTTTCTCACACGTATTCATAAGACCAGTGCCAAATAGCACCATTGCATTAAACCACTCAAAGTACGCTAACGTATAAAAAATGTTATGTGAGCAACGTATGTATGTTTATATTTACACTTTCCATGCGTGTTTAAAAATTTGTAGTTAACATATCGATGGCTGAGTGGAAGATCGACCTATATCGGCAGCCAGTTCGAAAACATTCTACCTCAAAAAACTTTTCAAGAACGCCCTATTTCAGAATTCGTTTCAAAAACGCTCTATCTCAGCTGCCGATTCAAAAACGCCCTATATCAGCATATTTTCAATACATTTTGAAGTGAGATAGGGCGTTTTTGAACCGAATTTTGAGATAGGGTGTTTCTCAATAAAATTCTGAAATAGGGCGTTCTTGAAAATTTTTTGAGATAGAGCGTTTTCGAACTGGTAGCCGAGATAGGTCGATCTTCCACTCAGCCATCGATATAAAGAAGCCTCAAACCCTCGTACTGAGTAAAATGTTATTATACGCTTATTTTCTTTCGAGGATCAACCGAACGGTAGTTTTATGTTTTAAATGTTATTTCTTCTTATTATCAACAAAAAAATGGAAACTGAAAAGATATGTTAACAAAAATTTTTCACTCAAATCCATTACAGTTGGAAAACATTGTTTAAGGAAATGACTGCTAATATCAGAACATTATTGGTTTGTTCTTGCATTGATCTATCACATATCCGGTAAAACGTTTCAGGAACTTAGGATACTCGCGCTTGTAAACGGCTCGCAAAGCGGAAGCAGGCGCCCAACCACCAGGATTGACTGCAATGAAGGAACAATTAAAAAATCGAAAATATGTGTTTGGAATTAGTAATTAAACACATTTTCGGCACTCACCAACAGAGCAATATGTGATTTTACAAGCTAATTCGTCGCGACTAAGATCATCATTTTTTGTTTTTCCAGGGGGTAAACGTGTCTGGCAGGCTAAAATTACGGTCAGAAAAATGCGAACGCATTTGCCATTTTTTGACTAGAATTTACAAAAGGAATTACCGAATTATTCAAAATGTACCTATCCATTTTTTTAAGAAATAAACTTTAAGATATCAGTCAGTCTCAAATATGTCTTTTTCACTTTTATGACTTCCGAGCTCAGCAAATACGAGTATCAAAAATTTTAATCTTATGAATTGATATGATCGCCGGATGAACAGAAATAAAATACAGTTATTTGAAATTGGTGCATCGGAATCTTTAAGATACTTTTTTTAATTGTAGACATCGTATGTACCTACATATCTACAAAGATGTCTTATATTTGCATCATATGTTTTTCACTCCATAGAAGGCGTTTTATACATTATCGGCAGAAGTAATCGATAACGGGCAAACCAGGATATAAGGAAATTACACCATACGCTGTGGTATTAGCGTTATACAGTGTTACGACATTCAAATATGCTCAGCTTAGAAGTTTCTAGTAGTCTTCTTCACAAGAAACACGAAACCTGTACAAAAATTGGATAACCTAAAGACAGTGTTCTGAAGGTGGCTTATAATTTTTTTGCTAATAGTTCTGCGTTGCTTAATTTATAAGTGACCGTCTAATCGCCTTTCATAGCAGTTATTTGCTTTTTCCCCTAGTTCGATGGCTGGCATAAGAGCCTTTAAGTGGGGTTTTAATAGAAAAACTTCCGAATAAGACATCTACAAAATGTCATCGACGGACGCCAATATTGAATAAGCGAAAGCATGAATATAAAATTCTTCTGGAGGAAGGACATTTTAAATATAGTAGTTAGCTATGATTGTATTTGATTTATATCTCTATATATCGAGAAGAAACACTAGTGAAAATGATTTATTTTGTTACTGGGTAATAAGGTCAAAACTAACTTCCTGTTTAGAGTAATCCGTGGAGTTATTACAAACGACCCACATATCTACAGCGTCCTCATCAAGTCCATCTGTAATTTTACGCATATGTGACCAAAAAAGGGCATCTCGTTGACTGGCAGGCCATATACGTTTATGTGTTTGTAAGAAGACGAATGTGTCGGGCGAAATTTTTTCTAGAATGGTGCAGTCTTCAAGAGTGGCTACAAGTGTACGAAATAATTGTATTATAAATCCCAGAAATTTAAATAGTTTGAACAACTACTCCGCACTTACTCTCCCACTCATTGCGAAACTCGGGCATGAAGAAGTAATGGCACATTTCACGTGCTGTAACCCCATTAACGCTGTGATATGCTTTCAAGGGATCCATAACTAATCCATTTACTTCTTCTTCTCGCTTGTACATTTTTATTTCACCTTCATCAGCAAATATTTGCCAACCGTTACCACCCTCACCAACTCCTTCGCGAGCATATCGCAACTGTTCACTGCAAACACGATCGATCTAAAATGAAGCCACCAATTTTGAAATAATAATTGTGAAAAACTTAACTTGGTGCTTTACATTCTTTGTGAAATTACCTCCGGCCACAGTATGTGACTTCTGGCTAATCCGCCAGTGCCGAACTCTTCCAGGCTGGGAGTGTTTCCTTCAAGCTGGACTTGATGCGGTGCTTGCGCCACCGTCAAAGATTGCTGCGACTGCAACTTTAGCTTAGCGCGAAGTTGCATGTCTTCCTCGATTTTTTCCAGGCCAGTTTCAACGGCATCAAAGAACTCATCTTCGGGAAGCGTGGAATGTGGACCCTCCTAAAAAATAAAAGATCAATTCAAGAAGGTGCTTTTATAATTGAGACACGAATTTTTCACGCAAATACATATGTAAAGCAAATTGTATGTGAAATGAATACAATTTTGGCGAGGTACATATACCACTAAGAGGATTTCAAGCATACATGTGAAACATGTGTAAATATTAGATACATGAATGACTTCAAATTATATTTAAGTAATTCACAAGGTGTCGTATTATCTTATGTCCTAAAGTTTAAAGGAATCGAAATCATAAGAAAATGTTTTTGGCAATGAGAAATTTTATATGTCTATTATGAATACATCCTTGTGAATACCTCTATTATTATTATTAATCCCAACGGTTGCCCTCCTTCCGTCATCCGAGCTAATTCCGCATGATGTACTGAAATTTGTTTTTTTTGCGCCGATTCACGAAAGGCAGGAGTTTGTTAAGTGTCGAGATCTAAAACTATTCAGCTACAGAACCAAATTCATCAGCTGATTATTATGTATGTATTTACTAGTCAAAAAGCGTACCCTTCGACGGGATTGAATAGAGACATTGACCCGAATACCACTATGCATCATGCTGTATGACACCTGTTTTTTTAGGCGGGAGAGGAAAAGTCTGAAATAAATTTTGATGCAACTAGCACCCTGCCATAACAGACAAGACAGTAATAGCTCGCAAATTTATTTTCGCGCGTTTTAGGACAGTAATGGGCAAATGTGGTTTTCTGTTTGAATGCAAAAATATCATGGCAGAGTGGTTTGGCACCATACAAAGTGCTATTTTTTGTCCCCCGTTTTTAAATTATTTTATCCAAAAACGATCCACTAACAAAACTGTTTTTTTATTATTGTAAGCCGTTTTGTTTTACTTTGCGAACGGTATTTCTTTGATATATTATACCTACTCTATACTATAAAAATATTTGTTCCCGCTCAGGTTATTCGATCACAGATTTACAAAAAAAAGTTTATGCATATTAAACCAAACCTACATATCCCTATGTTATTCGACACGCTGAATGCGAATCCGTCAGTTAGCCAGTTAGCCTCAATCACGTCAGGTTCGTTGTCACTTGAATGCCAAGTAGGGAAAAATTCGTTGAATAAACCCGAATATTCAATACAATTCATCTGAATTTGACCTTGGGATGGCCTTGGCATGACCTTGAGGAATCAAGGGCCCGATATTCGGATTCAGCGACAACAAAAACAAACGTTCTTATTTTTATTGAATATAAATTCTTTGTCCTATTTGACCCTCAAATGACCTCGAAGCTGACATTATGGAGGTTAACGGGCCTCGAACTCGGGTTCAGCGAGTCTAAAACCCCATATATATGAATTTTTAGGTTTATTAATGAATTTTCCTCTAACTGACCTTCAACTGACCACGAACTAAGCATAAACTTTTTTTTTGCAAACCTGTGTAATCAACATTGAAAAACATTTTGAACCATTAAACCAATGATGGGCAAAACGCTACTCGCGAGTAGCGTCTGCGTCGCAGCGCTTATACGTATACAGAAACGACGCAGCGAATTTCAATTCAGTCTGCTTTCAGTTTTCATGAGAGTGACACCACGCTTCGCCGTTGAATATTTTTATTCGTAATTTTAGCGCGTTGTTGCCACCTATATATGTAACAATGCCCAAAATGGCTGCGTATGAGTGCCAATTACAGTTTTTGGTTTTAAAAAAATCCAATAACGCCCAATGCTTGTTATGTGGTAATACGACTACTTGGAATCGTACTTTTAATATAAGGCGACATTATATGTCATGGTAAAAAAATCAAACTGCCGAACTGTGTAAACCAATTTAAAGTTTTTTGTAATGGGTTTTATGTATATATGTATGTACGATACGGCAATTTAATATATTTAGTATACTTTATTGAATACTGAGTTTAAGTTGAAGAGTTGAATACACAGTTTAGAAATTTTAAATTCGTGAATTTTGTTGTTGAATAAACTATCATTTTTTAAAACATTAGTTTAATGAAATTAAATTAAAAAACTTTTCATACACGTACATATGTACTTATAAAAATTAATTTCATAATTCATTATTTGAAATTATTTCTTCATTATTTTATTATATTTTATTATTTTCGTTTCATGTTCATAATACAAATTAAATATAAATTTGTAAGAGCGTTTTCTAACACGCGCAAAAAACGACGCACTACAATATAGAAAAGTGGCAACTGTTACTCAGCGCGATTCACGAATACCATGACAAAATGAGACTGTATTGGTGTGCCCATCTATGCATTAAACAATGAAAAAAATCTAAAAAAAAAGCTAAATATTTCCCGCATGCCACACAGTATTTTGGTGACAGGTAATAAGATCAACGGAAATAAGGTCAATTGACTTTATTTCCCACCCTGGTGCGAAATAAAGTCAATTGACATTATTACCTTTTTAAAAACGAAATAAAATCCATTGACATTATTTCCCTTTCAAACATTAAATTTGATCGCGCTCGCGCCTCGCGTACCCCGCGCGACCGGCGCGCACACCACGTCACGCTAAGTAGCGGGCCCCGGCCCCCTTTTCCCGTCTCCCGCCGTGCTGTAACACAGGCAGATTTATTTTTTGTATACGGTGAAATAAAATTTTTATATATTTTAAACATCGAGGGCTTATACTCAATAAAATACCCTCTATCTGCACACTTTTCACAAAGATGAGATTCTGATATAAAAATCCACCTTAGCTTTAACTGTCATCAGTGATATTAATGTTACCTTATATAACGACAGGTAATAAGTCCCAGATGGTTTCTAAAATCACAAATTAGTTTTTGTGCAAATTGCAGATAGAGGGTATTCATGAATTCAAGCCCTCGATGTTTCACCTTATTATATTTGTAAGTTATTGGAAGCAGGGATGCCAACTTGGCTCAAACCGCGCCATTTGTCCCTATTTTACTTCAAATGGCACTTAATTTTTCAATTTGGCACAAAGTGCCGAAATGGGACTTTAAAAAAAAAATAACATTTCAATACATTTTTGTGAAATCCTTTGCGTGCACTTCTTTTTCTCAACTAAAATTTTCTAATTTATAAAGGCTATTCAACTGGTTTATCTTATTTTATCATTGCACTTTTGTTTGAAAAATGTAGCTTTATTTTATTGTTAAATGTGAATGATTAAAAGGAATGACACCTTTTTTGGCACTTTTATTTTTCTATTTGGCACATTTTGGCACTTTTTTATCCTCAATATGGCACCTCATAACTAAGGATAGTTGGCAGCCCTGATTGGAAGATTTCTGCTGTGCTTTGGGGCAACAACTTGTCTGCAGTAGAAAAGCATATAATTTGTGTTTCAAAAGTGTGTGAAAACCAATCAATTAACTTATATGATCTCGGTTCCGATATTAAATAATCAATAATGGGGGTATAAACACACATTTGGCATTTTGGCACATTGGCTCGTTGAATGTGCCATCTAATAAATAGTGTCGTCATTCTCCTTAGCTGGTTTTAAAAGATGTCGTCACAAATTGCTGGCGGAGACATGAATACAGTGTAAGAAAATTCTTTTTCTATAATTCTTTCCTTATAGAAAAGTTGGTTTTTTTTCCACCTTAGACATTCCGAATTCGTTCAAAATATGCTAATTTAATACACAGAATTCTTTCAGTGTTCCTCCGGGGTTTTTGGACATGGACTGTTTCTTCAATTAATTTGCTTTATTTTTGTGGCAACAAAACATGTTTTGCAAGTTATGGATCATTTCTACACTCTTTCTTCAAATATTTCTCGTATTCCAGCTGTGCGCAAGCCTTTCGTTTTTCGCATCGTGTTTTTACATATTCGTAATTTTTTTAATAAAATCAATTGGTGGTAGTTCATGATTGTGTGTGGATTAATATCACAACACTGAGGATTTGGCAATAACCTTTTTCATATATTAAAAAACAATACTTACGGGGCAATGTTTATTGTAAGAACAACATTTTTTTCTATGAATCGACATATTTTAAGCATTGTTGACGTTATTTCCATTTGGTGGGAAATAAAGTCAATTGACCTCATTTCCATTGACCTTACTACCTGTCACCAGTATTTTATGTAAAAAACCCTAAAAATAAAATAATTACCAATGTCTGTTTATTGCTTGAAGAGTTTCAATGATTTCCATGTTTTTATATTTTCGTAAAATAGGACACGGCGATTCTGGCAACTGTCAACTCACCACAGACTTTCGAAAGCTCTTGAAAGCTCTTTACTGCCTTTCGAAAGTCTAATTGAAAGAACTGCTAAGATGGGGGTATATGCTGATTACCTTTTAGCAAAAAGTTTATTACAAATTAAATTAAATAAAAAATACATATCTATATTTTTTGTTTTAAAACGATAAAATTTAAAAATATGTAAAATGAAAATAAAGCGAAAATAAATAAAAATATTTTTAAAAATTAAAATTAACTTAAAAAATATACATATATTTTTTTCCTTTCATAATATTATTTTTAATAATCAGAAAAGGAGAAAAATTTAATCAAAAAAGAAGAAAGTAGTTTCTAGATATTAAATAAAATAAAAAAAGTATTTTTTTAACAAACTCTTAAAATTGAAAGAAAACCAAATTGAAAAAAGCTAAAAAAATAAAATATGATCCTAAAAATTAAATCAAATAAAGGAACATATTTTACAACACTATTATCAACTTATAATGTTGTATGTCCAGACACCATTTATAGCAATTGTATGTCCAGACACCATTTATGGCAAAGTTTCTATACAACCTAGTCTAGATATCAAATTCGTCGGTAAGTACTCTCTCGCTCTGAAGAGTTATATCTTTAAGAGCACTCCGAGCGCTAGCGTTATTTACATCCTCTTCACCATAAACTCCTCATATGCTCGGATCACTCATGAATTTGCATGTGGCGTATTTGTAAAAGAGTTTTTATTTTTATCGCTCCGAGTTTTAAAAGGGATGTAAAAAATATTTATCACACATTTTTAACACACAAAACTTGGAACA